CAGCTTTGAGTGAAAAAGCTGAGTGTCAGAGGCCCTGATTTTAGGTCTCAGTACTAGGCATGCGCGCACACACACACACAATGAAAAATGTACAAAGCAAGAAATGCTAAAAGAAGGCCTTCAGGTAAATCAACCTTAGTAGATAATGAACAGGATTTACTTAAAGGAATAAAGTGCATTGAAATAGAAATTATCTAAATAAACACATTTCTCTTTTTATAGTATATTTAAAACTGAACTTTCAAAAATAAAAAGTGACAGCATATTATATAATTTATAACATACACAGAATGAAATCCATGGCAATAACAGCATAAAGGAAGAACAAGTGGCAGAGAAGTAGCTGCTATAAGGTACTTACGTCATACCTGAGGGCAGACTGTGACCAGTTGGAGGTGTATACTACAAACCCTCAATCAGTGAAAAAAAACCCACACAAGCTAGTTGGCCAGCAAAGAAAATGAGATAGAACCACACACAGTGCTCAGTTATTCCAAAGAAGGCAGAAAAAGACTGAGAAAGGAATAGGCATGGCGCAGGAAGCAGAGTGCCTGTTTGGCAAGCAAGGGGCTCTAAGTTCAAATCACAGTACTGCTAACACACACACACACACACACACAAATACACTGAGAGAGAGAGAGAGAGAACAGGCTATCAGAAAAAAGGAGAGAGCAGACAGAAAATAAATGGCAAGATAATGGATTTATACACAAATTTATCAACATTTACATTCTATGTAAATATTCTAAACACCTGAACTCAAAAGCAGAAATTGTCAATTAGTACACACACTATATTCTGTCCATAAGAAATTTACTTTAAAACACAAATAGGTTAAATATGAAAGAATAGAAAAAAGATATATCAAGATATATCAGTGAAAGTTGAAAGTGTCTATATTAATATTAGATGACAACGCATACTTCAGCACGAGAAATATGGAATAAGAAGGACATTAAATAAAAATAAAGGGTTGATTCACATACAACTATCTATTCATCAGACATCAGAGTCTCAAGTCAAAGGAAGCAGAAACAGAACTGAAATGAGAAATAGACAAATTCACACTTACCTTTTTGTGTTCCAGGCCTGGGGCCTGAATTAAGGGCCTAAGTACTATCCCTGAGCTTTTTTGCTCAAGGCTAGTGCCCTACCACTTGAGCCACAGCACCATTACAGGTAGGAGACACTGGCATGTGGCTTTCACAATTATTTTTAAAGACTTCAATACTTCTCTTTAGAAATAGACAGGCTGGGTCTTGTAGTGAGCCACCAGCACCCAGCAAAAGAATATATACAGCCGGGTGCTGGTGGCTCACGCCTGTAATCCTAGCTACTCAGGAGGCTGAGATCTGAGGATTGAGGTTCAAAGCCAGCCCGGGCAGGAGAGACCGTGAGACTCCGATCTCCAATAAACCACCAGAAAACCAGAAGTGGCGCTGTAGCTCAAGTGGTAGAGTGCTCGCCTTGAGCTGAAGAGCTGAGGGACAGCGCCCAGGCTCAGAGTTCAAGCCCCACGACCGACAAAAAAAAAAAAAAAAAAGAATATATACATATTTTTTTGTTAGTCATAGGGCTTGAACTCTAGGCCTGGGCGCTGTCCTTAAGCTCTTCAGCTCAAGCCTAGCGCTCTACCACTGAGCCACAATGCCACTTCTGGCTTTTTCTGTTTACATGGGCCTCATGCATGTGGGGCAAGCACTGTCCCGCTGAGCCACCTTCCCAGCCCCAAGAATAAAATTTTTAAGAATAAAATTTTGCAAATAACTCTAGGCTTATTAATTAAACCAATTACATGAAACGGCAACACTGCTGGAACATACAACTGGACAACGCTCACTCAAAGGAGAAACAGATGGCCTGAATTGTTCATAACTAACAGAAAAATTAACTTAGTACTTAGAAACTTTCCATCAAACAAACAAATGAATGCCCTTCAAACTCAGATGCCTTCCCTAGCAAATTCTATGTAACACTTTGAAGAAATACGGCAGTTCCACAGAAGCTCATGAAAAACAGCTGAGTACACACTTTCCATGCCTTCACATGGAGGAAATTCTCTATAAATATGGCTTAGCTCCAGTGAATGCAAAGGGCTATTATTTGGTTGCCAATCTGAGAAAGTCTTTAAAGACTACTTCTAGGCTGGGCACAGTATCAGACCCCGGTACTCCCAGAGTCTTAGGAGGCTGAGAGAGGAAAACTACTTGTGCCCACGAGTTTGACACCAGTCTCAAGAATCAAGGAGATAGCATTAAGGGGAAAAAAGAAAGTCTAGTGCTAAAATCTGAAAGTTCTATTTTTGTCTACCAAGCTAGTTTTTAATTAACTAAGTATTATGCAACAAACAGCAGAAATCAAACGTTAATCCACATTAAAACATGACTAGAAACAGGGACACTGCTTTCTGGAACACTCAGATCAGGTGTCATAAATACTAATTACTAATTGCCCTGGAATTTGGTAACTACTTGGAGTCAGCATTTGGTATAGAGTTCCTACATAGCTTTTCTAGAGATTACAGCAGAGGCCCCTGGGAATAATACTGTTTGCTCATACTGACTTTAGCTGGAAAAAGCCAAGGAAAAAACAGAGCCAAGGTAGAGAGTATGCTGTGGTTGAGTTCTGGCCATTTCTGTCTCTAAATCCTCCTTTTCAGTGTTACTTCATCTCCCTTAGACAGCTGCAAACCAGAGGGCACACACTCAGAAAGCAGGCTTTGAGGAACAGAGCAAAAGAAATGAGAACTGGCGAGTGGTGAAATTCCCCAACCTGTACCTGTTCAGTTCCTATGGAGGAGGGACCTGTTAAGTCTATGGAATGAGAGCCCAGGCAAAGTGGGGCTGTTAGTCAAGAGATTCCACAGACACAGCAGGCTGCTCCCCCTGCTGGCTACTTGGGTTCTCATCTGGGAAATTTGGTCTCCCGCGCAATAGCCACCTTAGGGCACTGTTAGGTCTCATCCTGTGGCCAGGCAGCCTGTGTGACTTAGGAAGCTTTTCTGAGTGCTGAGAGGAGTCAAGGAGACAGAACCAAATCTTCAGGAAAGATCTGATGCTTCATTGGTTAAAATTTCCTGAAATTCTTTTCCCTGACAGATGTTGAGTGGGAGGTTATAATTCCAAGAAGTCTTTTAATCCTGAGATCTTATCTTTTCTATTTGAAAATAAAGAGGAAATCAATGTCTTTCAGCAGGTTGGGTGGTCTTTTGGTTCCTTAGTGTTTTCATCTGAGAAATAAGCATGATAAGTGCACTTAATTCACAGATTATAGTACAGATGTTCAATGCATTAATCAGGCATAATTCTTAAATCACTGCCTGGTATACAGTAAGTAGCCATATGATGATGATTCTAAAAAGAATGGGTGGATTGAAACACAAAGAATACACACCATGACTTCATTAGTAGGAAATTCTAGAGTGCAAACTAATTGATTGTGCCAGGTGAACATCAGCAGATGCCTTGTGCTGAGAGAGAAGGAACTTTGGTGAATTCCTCATACTCCAAACTGTTTTTACTTCTGATCCAATGTGTGTAGGTTCTCTCTCCAATCCCCACCAGCAGATCCCAACAGAGTGCCCATCATCCACCGAGCGTTAGATACTGGAAATTAGGGGTTCGTCCCCCAAAATTGCCCCTGCAGAGCCAGGCGCCAGAGGTTGTAATCCTAGTTACTCAGGAGGCTGAGATCTGAGGATGGCAGTTCAAAGCCACCCAGGATAGGAAGGTCTATAAAACTTTTATCTCCAATAAACTACTCAGAGAAAGCTGGAAGTGGAGCTGTGGTTCGAAAAGTAGAACACTTGTCTTCAGGAAAAGCAGCTCAGCCCAGGGTTTCAAGCCCCAGGACAGGGGGAAAAAAAGCAAAGAAAGAAAAGCCTCTCTTGCTTTCTAGGCCAATCACAAGCTTCTGCTACACACTGGAGGTTTCCTAGCCTCCTCCTTGGCTTAATTTTTTTTTTTTTTGTCACTCCTGGGTCTTGAACTCAGCCTGGATGCTGTCCCTGAGCTCTTCAGCTCAAGAAAAGTGCTCTACCACTTGAGCCACAGCACCACTTATGGTTTTCTGGTGGTTAATTGGAGATAAGAGTCTCACACACTGGCTTTAAATGGTCATCCTCAGAGCTCAGCCTCCTGAGTAGCTAGGATTATAGGTGTCAGTCACTGGAACCGGGCTACTTAGATTAATTTCTTAGATCACCTCAGGGAAACAAGTTGATCTGTCTATTATGCAAAGGATAGGCTAAATGATGCAGATGAATAGCCTGCAAGATATATAGGGTAGTCAGGGGACAATGGCTCATGCCTGTAATCTCAGGTACTCAGGAGGATCTCAGCCAGTTTGAAGCCAACCCTGGCAGAGAAGTCTGTGAGACTCCATCTCCAATCAGCCCGCAAAATATGGGACTGGAGGTAAGGCTCAAGTGGTAAAGTACCACTTGAGAGAGTACCATCCATGAACAAGAAATGGAATTGAGTGCAGGAGGCCCTGAACTGCAGCCCCAGTATTTGAGCATGTGCGTGTGTGTATGTGCGCACGTGCACACACACACACACACACACACACACTCATTTTTTCTCTCTCTCTTCTCTCTCTCAAAACAATTTGAGTTGGGTGCTGGTGGCTCACAACTATAATTCTAACTAACTGGGAGGCTGAGATCTGAAAATCATGGTGAAAAACCAACAGGGGCAGGAAAGTCTGAGGCTCTGATCTCCCATTAAGCACTACAAAACCGGAAGTGGAGCTGTGGCTCCAAGTGGTAGAGCTCAGGTGGGTTCAAGACCCATGACCAACAAAAACAAGAGCAACAACAAACAAACAAACACAGAACCTGATCAGCTTAGAAAGAGAAACAAAACTCGCGTCCACCCCCATTCCTCCCCCCCTCCCGCCCCCAGCATATTTAGTTTGACATCAAAGCCAGACTTGGAGGCACCGTCCGGCCAGGAGTCCCTCCGGGAGCGCTGGGCGCCCGGCGGCGGCAGGAGCCTTACCTGCGTTGAACTCGGGGTCGTTTTCCAGGATGGCCACGGCGCATTCCACGGCGTCCACGGCGCTGCCCCCGTCCCTGAGGATCTTGTAGCCCATCTTGGCGGCGCGGATGATGCCCTGGCGCACGCGCTCCTTGCGCTCCGAGGAGAAGTTGCTGGCTCCGCCACCGTGGACCACGACCACAGGTTTCCTGACCGTGCCTGGGCATGGAGGGGAGGCGTCAAGACCCTTCAGCCCTGACCGGGAGGCGGGAGCGGGAGGGCCCAGGGGGTCCCCGAGGGTCACGGGTCACGGGATGGGGGTACAGGGTGCGGGGCCGGGGGGGGAAGGGGTCAGGGGGATAGGAGGTGCAGGGGGCCGGGTTAGGGGGTGCAGGGGGCCGGGGTTAGGAGGACAGGGTTCAGGGGGTGCAGGAGTTGCAGGGGTGCAGGCCTCAGCGAGCTGGCTCGGCGTGCACGACTGGATTTAGTTTCAGGCCTTTTCTGGAGGCCGGTGGGGAGGGACCGGCGGGGTTCCAGCTCTGTGCACGCACGCGATCCGGGGCCTCCAGCTCCCCTCCAGGCTCCCCGCCGCCCTCCCTCTCTCCCGTCCCCTAGCCTGGGCGCCTGCCAGCCCTCGTGCACACACACGAGTGTGTGTGTGTGTGTGTGTGTGTGTCTTTGGGGGGGGAGGTTGTGGGACTCGGCATCCTCGATCCCCCTCGCAAGGCTGCACGGCCGCCTCAGTTTCCCCGGAGAAGCGCGGGCCTGGTGGGGGATGGCGCCCCCGGCTCCAAGTCGAGCCTCAGTTTCTCCAAAGAGGAGGCGTGCTTCCCGATCGCCGAGGGCCGGACGTCCCCGCGGCTCCTCCCCCCTCTCCCCGCCTCGACCCCCGCGGCCCCGAGGCCGTGGCTCCCACCCTCGGTCAGAAGGTCCTAGCTCTGTCCTTGCTCATTTCGTTCACGCCCCGGGCACCGCGGACGGCTGCTGCTCAGGACTTACGGGGGACCCCGGCGGGAGGTGAGCACCGGGCGTCTGTGGCCAAGGCGGGAGGTGAGCACCGGGCGTCTGTGGCCAAGGCGGGAGGTGAGCACCGGGTGTCTGTGGCCAAGGCGGGAGGTGAGCACCGGGTGTCTGTGGCCACGGCGGGAGGTGAACAGCGGATGTCAGTGGCCCCGGACCGAAGTGAAAACCGGGTGTCCACGGCGCCGAATGGAGGTGAATACCGGACGTCAGTGGCCCCGGCGGGAACTGAGTACCGGGTGTCCGTGGCGCCGGCGGGAGGTGAATACCGGGTGTCCGTGGCGCCGGACCGAAGTGAGCACCGGGTATCCGTGGTGCCGGCGGGAGATGAACACCGGGTGTCCGTGGCGGCGGCGGGAGATGAACACCGGGTGTCCGTGGTGCCGGTGGGAGATGAACAGCGGGTGTCAGTGGCCCCGGCGGGAGGGGCACACCGGGTGTCCGTGCTGCCAAGCCGACCAGCCAGCTTGGAAGCCGCCGCGTCCAGCCTGCAGCGAGGCCGGCTCCACAAACCGCTGGGCCAGCGACCGCTGGGGGCACAACGGTTCCGCGCCTGCGCACGAGGGCGGGGCTGCGCCGCCGCTGAGGTCCGCACAAACCCCGTCCCCGGGCCCACCCGCCTGCTCCCCCGCCCGCGCTGACGGCCACGCCCCCTCGCGTCTGGCCTCGCCCCCAGAACGGCCCGGTCTCCTGCTCAGGCTTCCGTCCAGTCATAGGCCCCGCCCACGCTGGGAGCCGGCTCCGCCCCTCGGCCCGGCCCTGCCCCTGCTCGTATCCAACCTGGGCTCCTCCCAGAACCCGGATGACTCTGGCCTTCCACCCAGTCCAGCACCTCAGCAGCAGCGGGGAGGTTTGGAGGATGGTGGGGAAAGCACTCAGTGGTTTTGTAATTGCACCTCGAAATGCAACGCAGCACTCCCTTGGGGATTGCGAGCTACTCTGCATTAAAAAGCTCTCCCCTTTACTCCTCCTCCCTTACCCTTCATCTTTTGCATATAACAGAATGATGAACTGTAAAACCATCTGTAATTGCCACACCTGTAATCCTACAACTCAGGATGTTGAGATCTGAGGATTTCAGTTTGAAGCCAGCCCAGGCAGGAAGCCCTTTGAGATTCTTGAAGTGGAGCCGTGCTCAAGTGGTAGAACGCTAGCCTAAAGCTCATGAACATGGCCTTCATGGTGCACACACCAATCTGAAATTGGCCTGATTCTGTGTGTGGGGCTGATAATCCCAGCTTACTTCTACCTCTGAGCTGCAGGATCTAAATCCCTACACTCTTAAGCTTCTGTACTTCAGATGACATTCCCCCCCCTCCCCCCCCCCCCCCCCCCCCCCCGGTGTTCCTTAAAGACTTGACAACAGAGGAACACAGTCTCGGAAACCAATGCATATTATTTGTTCACTGGAGCTGTCTTAGTAGGCAAAGGGAATGGCTCTTTACATTTCTGCTCAGTAAGATAGCTAAGATACTGGGTTAGCAATGTGGACTGAAGGATGCCTTACTCCAAAAAGTACTTTTTTGAGACACAAATTTATTTTTTCATAGCTTTTAGTTTTTTTTTTTTTTTGGTGATTTGTGGGGCTTGAACTCTGGGCCTGGGCGCTGTCCCTCAGCTCTTCAGCTCAAGGCTAGCTCTCTACCACTTGAGCCACAGCACCACTTGTGGTTTTCTGGTGGTTTATTGGAGATCAGAGTCTCTCAATCTCCAGAGCAAGTAGGATTACAGGCATGAGCTACCAGCGACTGGTTCTTCTCTCTCTCTCTCTCTTTTTTTTTTTTTTTAATGTATGGTTATTGCTAAGGTGATGTCTAGAGGGGCTACATGTCAGGTAATGAGTATATTTCTTCTTTTTGATGAGTACATATAATTCAGTCCATGCTCCTAGGCAAGGAGGACATACCAACCATGTCTGGTCAATCATAGCATTCTATATAATTGGCGATAATAATTGGTTAGAAAGCTGGGGATGTGACCCACGCATGGCCTATGTGATAACTCCTTTAGAAATGAAGTTTGGACAATAGAAGAAATAAGTTTTGTCCACTACAACTGAGGCTATTTGGGACTGTTGATGGTCATCTTTTGTACCCTGTGCAGAGAACATTTGAAGAATGAAATTATATGGTTAAAAAAAGTTAACTTTCTCCAAAGTAATATCTGGCCTTTATCCTTGGCTCCTTGAAGATAGTGCCTAAACCCTTGGGAAGTTTATTAAAAAGGACCATGCCAGGGGTTGGGAATGTGGCTTTGTGGTAGACTGCTTGTCTAGCATGCATGAAGCCCTGGGTTCACTTTCTCAGTACCACATAAACAGAAAAATCCAGAAGTGGCGCTGTGGCTCAAGTGGTAGAGTGCCAACCCTGAGCAAAGAAGCTCATGGACAATGCCCCAGGACAGGCAAAAAAAGGGACCATGCCAGATGGTCTAACAACAGGATTGTAAAAAGAAAGACCTTTGAGCAGACACAGAGGTAGGATCTCTGTGACAGTCTCTGGAGGTAGAGATTGAAGAGATTCCTTTACAAGCCAAGAAAGCCAAAATTGCAACACCTAGGGGAAGCTCAATAGAACCAAAGAAGGGTCTTCTGCTAGAGCTGTCGAGAAAGAACAGTCCTAATGATACCCTGATTTGGACTTCCAGCCTCCAGAACTGGGGAGCTGGGGGAAGGGCAGAGGGTGGGTGGGAATCTTTTACTTCTTATGTAACTCTTTGGCCAAATCAAAGAACTCAATTAATACAAGTGCTGATTAGCAATAGAAAACCATAAAGTTTTACTCAATGAGCAAGAGAGTGAAGCTTGAAGGCATGAATAATCAAAGCATGCTGCTTTCATATTTTAGACAAACAGGAGTAAGCCACAGGAAAAATGGATGTCTTATCTGAACCTGTGTACTAAATTCTGGGGAGGTTACTCTGCAGGTGGCTTATTTAGGTTCTTTGCAAGTCCCAATTACCAGTGCCTGATGATCAATACAACTTTCCAGCCTTGGTATTGAAACTAGCTAAAAGCCTGGGCATGTAGCCAGCTCTTAAACTCCTTAATGTTACCGAATAAATGGCAGGCATGGTTTCTGTGCCTACAACTATAGCCATGGACTGAGAACTTAAATCTGAGATGGTATCTGGTAGCTATTTGTGGACCAGGGGTTACGCAGGTACTTTGTGTTCTTGGAAGAACGGTAAACTGAACTTGGCAGCTCAAGCCTGTTGGTGTTCCTGTCAAACAGCCAAGATAAGAAAGTTCCCGGAAGTCTCACTTTACCGTCCAGATCTGACCAATGAATGGTGACCTGAAGTAAAATCTGAATAGTCTGGGCTAAGTTCTTCCTGAGGCTTACATCCCTCATTTGCATAACAGAGCAGAGTGGATGCTGGGAAGAAAAGTATTTACTGTAGAAGCCAGCTTATTGCTTCATTCCTTCTCAGAATACTTTTGTTTTCTACCAAAGGCTGCCTCTCCTGGGTTTGCCAAGTAGTTGTTGAAATAAAGACTCTCTTTTTGTATTGATTTTTTCCTTTTTGTTGTTGTTGACAGATTTAGTGTTCTTCTTTCCAAATTTTTATTATAAAGTGAAAATTACTTACGTTGGACCTTTTTCCTTCTGCTCTCTGGTTATGCTGCTGGTGGCTTAGGAAATTAATCCCAGGACCAGTCTTTCTACTTTTGGCTAGCACCGGTAACAGCTTACCAAACCCTTTATGTATTTATATATTTGTGTGTGCCATTACTGGGGCTTGAATTAGGGCCTGAGCACTGTCCCTGAGCATTGTTTTGCTCAAATCTGGTGCTCTATCATTAGAGCTACAGCTTCACTTCAGGCTTTTTTGGTGGATAATTGGAGGTAAGAGTCTCATGGATTTTCCTGGCTTCTAACCTCTCTCCTTAGATTTCAGCCTCTTGAGGAGCTAAGAGAGTGCCTGTAAGGTCCGCTCCTGGATGGCTAGCAGACTCCACCCTCCTCGCAGCAAAGTCTCCATCCATTACCTGCGTTACCTAGGCAACTGGGACACCTGGAAGAGGTCACATCTGCATCCACTGAGGTCACATCTGAATTTGATGTGGCCACACCTTTCCCGGCCCATACCGTACATAAGGCCTAGCCCAGGCCCAGAAGCTCTCTTGCTGCTCTTTTCTTGCTCTCTCTGTTCTATTCTAGCTCTCTCTCTGTTCATTTTTCTAACTCTCTATCCCTCTTGCTCTTCTTTTCTAGCTCTCTCTGCTCTCTCTCTGCTCTAGCTCTTTCCTCTCTCTTTCCCAGCCACGTGGAGTGCCAACCTTGCCTGTTCCCAGCAGGTCCACTGAATAAACCTACCCCTTACCTGAATACCACGTGAGTGCTGCAGTTCTTACTCAGCTACCTCTTTTTAAAAAACCTAACAGTGCCCAGCTCCAAACCTTTGTATTTGAGACTTTTTTTTTTTTACATTTTGTCTTACCACAGTTAGCATTAGATCTGTCCTAGAAAATGGTGCCTCTCCTCCCCAGCCCTGGCCCTCATCTCTCTGCCATACACAACAGATCTGTGGCCTGATCTAGTGGGTCTCAGACTTTTTGTAGGATCAGAATCAGCTGGAGTTAAAAGTCTAGCTTTGTGGCTCCTAGTCACAGACTTTTCCATTCATCAGGTAGTTGTGAACACATTCAATCTGAGATTGGCACTACCTTCTTCCTGGGAACCAGAGTAGCTGGGTAGGAGGTTGGGAAACTTGTTTACTTTTAGTTCTCTTGCAAGTGTCTGATGAATGATAAAGAGCTTTTTGTTTTGTTTTTTGTTCCTTCAGTGCTGGGTGTTGGCATGCTTAATTCTGCTTCTCTCTGGGGACAAGCTAAGCAGTCTAGGAATGATTAAATTAATCCCCAGAAGTAATTTTGTAGCAGTGAGGGGAGTTCTCAAGGTAGAGGGATCTATCCCAAAGCTGTAAAGCTATCTCAGCTGTACAACTACCACCCATGCTTCTCTTGTTTCATAACATTGCCTGTAATTTTTTTTTTTCTTTCTCAAAGAGATCTCCCCTAGCAAGATGACAGCTGTTTGGGGGCTTGTCAATTTTCAAGTTCTTGGTCATTTTTCTTGGTACCATAAGGCTCAACACAAGGTCTGACTCTCAGAAGAGTTTCATGATGTTAAAAAACCCCAAAAAGCAATTTCCCAGAAGTTCCTGGTCACCATTATTAGGAGGAATGAACAGGAGATAATTTGAATATTTATAAGCTGGCCAGTAAGCATGGCTTCTTGCTATGACAGGAAATCAACAATGGTTTTCAATAGAGGAGCCTGGAACTCATGCTCCTGGCAGTGTTCTGGACAGTTTCTGTTTAGAAGGGGCTATAGAGGTAGTAACAGCTTCATGGGATGCTCTGTGCTGGGCACAGAGGTTAGAGCATACGAGCTACCTAAAGAGTCTGTAGAATCAATAATAAAGCTAAGTTCCTACAGGAAGGCCTCAGCAATTATACAAGGCCTGGACCAAAACAGCGTGCTCTATGTACTAATGGATAGCAATAATGATTTTTTCCTTAACAATATTATGTATTTACTATATTTACTAATGAAACAAATATCAAAATATTAATCAATATTATGAGCAAAACCAAATTATTAATGAAAATAAAAATGAAAGAAATTAATTAAATTATTAATACAATACTATTTATTTATTTTTGCTATTTTATTATCTTGAAGCAGTTGTTCAAAGCAGTTTTTTTT